TTTTTACTTTTATTGATTTCAGAGAAGAAGGGAGAGTAAGAGAGAGATAGAAACATCAATGATGAGAATCATTGATCGGCTGCCTCCTGCACGCCCCCTACTGGGAATTGAGCCCACAACCGGGCATGTGCCCTTGACTGGGAATTGAACCTGGGACCCTTCAGTCTGCAGGCTGACGCTCTATCCACTGAGCAACACCAGCCAGGAGCTGAGGGGCTTTCTCAGAGATACCCCCGTGGACGAGGGCAGCGAGAAGGCTGCCTGGACTCGGCCCGCAGTGTAGGAGGGGAAGTGACAGGATGGGCCCCCCCACCCCCCACTCAAGGCAGAGCAGGCTCTGAGACCTTCATCCCCGATTGGAATCTAGTCTGGAGGTGGGAGTGTCTATGCCCCGATCTTGGGGTGCCACGTGCTCCCTGGTTCCGCTCCCTCCGTTGCCCTGGCCCTGGAGAGAGGCGGAGTGGGGGCGGCACTTACCCCCCACCCGAGCCGCCGCCGTTCTTGCTGAAGTGCGTGCGCGGCTCGCTGGAGGCCAGCTTGAGCAGCTCCGTCCACTCGCGCTCCCACTCGTCCTCGGTGTACACCAGCCCTGACTGGCACAGGACGCGGGGTCAGGGGGCACAGCCCCTCCCCCTCCCCGGCCAGGTCCGCCGGGCAGCCCGCTGGCGGGCACACCTGTGAGTGGCCACCGACTGTCCCCATGTCTGACAATAGTTTTCAGCACCCCAATCTCATTTCAGTGCTGTTGGGGGTCCACTCAGCACCCAGGGGGGTGCCTGCACAGGCACGAGGCCTGGGCGGCCATGAAAACGTCTGAAGGGCCAGCGGGCCAGCATCCAACACAGCGGGCAGATCCCTCCTCCTGGGACAGCCACGTGCCAGCATGCAGGCGGGCAGGGCCCTGGCATCTCAGCACCACGGGCGGGGCTGCACGTAGCCCTGAAACCACCACCAGCAGGCGGACAGGGGGACCCCTGAGAGTGAAGACGGTGGGTCTTCCGTGATTCGCTGGTGGGAGCGGACGTGTGCTCACTGCATTAGGGCCAGGCCAGGGCTTCCCGCCTTGTTCCAGCTACGCACCCCTGGGCATCTCTGACATCCTGGGCCCCCCACCCACCGTGACACAGAATTCTTCTTATTCAAAAAGGGAGGAAGCCAAAAAGGCCATGAACTTGGTCTAAACAAGCTGCCAAAGAACATGGCGTCCATGAAAGAAAAACAAAAGGACGAAAGGACAGTGGACGAACTGAGGAAGCAATCACTAAGGAATTGTTAAATAATAATAATAATATGAAGGGATATGAAAAAATAGCAAATAAAGTTTCAAGACACATCACAGAGAACTGAGATGCATAAATATGCCACAGTATATATTTACAGCCTGCATATGAGGCCCCGATCCCTAAGAAATGCAAGCCATTCACTGTGAATAACGCATTCTCGAGTCGCCCCCCCGCCCCCCGGGGCGTGTGCCCCACACTGGGAACCGCTCACTGGTTGGGCTCATCCTCAGGGTCCACCTCTGAGGCTGATGGTGCCCTACTCGCCCCAAAAGCCACTCCGCCTGACCTCAGGGACAGACTTGGTCCTGGGGCCCAGCTCCTGACTGGGGGTGCCCACGGCTGTGCCTGGGGGAGGTGGGGGTCCCGGGGAAAGGGGGGCGGCGGCACCCACCTCCTTGTTCTGCTGCGTTTGCTGCCACCGCCACCTCCGCTTCAGGGCTTCCCGCTCGGCCCCCGTCCGCATCATGGTGTAGAGCGCTTTCCGCAGGACCAGGTCACGGTCGTGGAAACCCCACATGCCTGCAGCAGGGGCGGGGACCCAGTGTGCGTGAGGAGGGGGACACGCCGGGATGGGGCGCCAGCCACCCAGACTTAACAGGCGCGCCTCCCACGTCTGCGCGCACAGAGCTAACCCACCCCTCACTATTGGGTTCCCGCGATCTGCCCGCAGCGCTCCCGGCCACCACGTGCCCTGTAAATTCCCGCCTTCACGCTTTACCCATGTGGGCTCCCTGCCTGGAATGTCCTCTTTTAAAAAAATATATTTTTATTGAATTCAGAGACAGGGAGGGAGAGGGGGAGAGAGAGAAACATCAATGATGAGAGAGAATCATTGATTGGCTGCTTCCAGCATGCTCCTACAAGCCTGCAACCGGACTCGGCATGTGCCCTGACCGGGAATTGAACCGTGACCTCCTGGTTCATAGGTTGACGCTCAGCCCCTGAGCCACGCCGGCTGGGCCTCTTTCCCACGCTTTCGAGTCTCAGTAAACCCCCGCCTCCTCCAGGAAGTCCCCTTGGATTTCTCTAGATCCGCCTCCCGGCCGTTCCACTCAGGCCTCCTTCTATCACGACAGGTCTTTCCTCGTGTGTTTTCTATGTCTTGCGCCCCCCACCCCCACCCCACCCCTAAACCGGCCTGGCGCTTGGCAAGGACAGCGGGATTGCTGGGGACTCTTCCTGATGGCAGTGAGGCGCGTGGCTCTGCTGAGCGGTGTCTGCTTTCCCCATGCCCAGAGCAGGCCTGGGCGCCGCCCCCCTACCCGCCCGTGGAGCTCACCCAGGGAGGCCGCATGCAGGAGGCAGTTCCCGTCGCCGGTTGTGGCCAAGGGAAGGAGCCGCTTGCAGCTGGTGCACGCCGCGGACCACCAGTTCAGGCGACCTGCAGAGAAGCGCGCTTTAGTCCTCGCTCTTTATAAAAATAGATTGTTATTGATGTCAGAGAGGAAGGGAGAGGGAGAGAGAGAGAAACATCAATGAGGAGAGAGGATCATGGATCAGCTGCTTCCTGCACGCCCCACAACTTGGGCATGTGCCCTTGACTGAGAATCAAACCCGGGACCCTTCAGTCCATAGGCCTACGCTCTATCCACTGAGCCACACCGGCTAGAGGGTTTTCTGGCTACTTTTTCTTTCTTTTATTTTTAAATTCTTACCCAAGAATATGTTTAGAGAGGAGAAGGGATAGGGGAAAGGAGAGAGAGAGAGAAGTTTCGATGTGACAGACACACAGCATTGGTTGCCTCCCACACGCACCCCAACCAGGACCGGGGATAGAATCTGCAACCCAGCAATGTGTCCTTGACCAGGACTCGAACCCGTGGCCCTTCGGTGTGTGGACGGACACTCTGACCATTGAGCCACACCAGCCAGGGCCACAACGTCTCTCCTGCTCCCTGTGGTCAGTGAGCGGCCCGCTCACCTGCCTGCTCCAGGGCCACCATGGTGGCCTGCTCGATCAGGTCCCGCTCGATGAAGCTCCTGAAGTCCTCGCTGTACACGCTCAGGTCCGGCAGCTGGAAGGTGTAGATGGGCATCTCCAGGGGGCACTGCTCGCTGCTGCACTCGCTGGCCACGTGGGACCGCGCCAGGGACACGATGGCCGA